CCCCAAAACCCCAAAACCCCAAAACCCCAAAACCCCTCAGCAGGATATATGAGTGAAAATTAGAATTTTGTTACATTAATTTATTTATATGGAACAAAGTCTGAACCAAACTAGAGAGATTTACACAACTGGTCAGCTGGAGGGGTGTAAAGAGGCGCCAGAATTTCTCTGAAATAATAAATCAACAGATAATGCACCTGACGACCAATTTTTGATTTTTAATGATCAAAAATGGTCTCAAAATTGTGATTGATTTGAAAAAGAGCATGATTTTGACATCGCATTGGCCAAATTTCAGCGTGGTTGCTCACTCCATGTTGAGGAAGCGGTAAAGAGTAAGTTTGATATCCCAAACTCTCCTTCTGATTCATTTTTCTTCTTCGTAGCTCTAAAAAAGTGAATAAGAACCATTGTCTGGAAGAAGGGTTTACTTACGTAATTCGTTCTACTTTGTGGGATATCTTGGTTATTTTTAAATACCATTTACACATAAAAATAAGCTAACACTGTATTTAGAATACGAGCTTAAACAACAAAAGGATGTCGATGAAGTCTCTTTAGACAGCATGAACAGCTGCAGGCGGCTCCATTCTGAAACTTCATCCTGATACTTTGGTTGAAAACATGGCTTTGGAACGGAAATATCCCAGTCTTCAAAGGAGATTTCAAATGATCAATCTGTCAATGCCACCAAAGTTGGAGATTTGAATATGTTCAGAAATGAAAAGGAGTTGAAAGATCTCCTCGCATCCACCCAGCAAAATACAGATAATATTTTCCCATCAAGCCAATGCTTAGGGACTTTGAAGAGAATGAAGAGATGGCTAAAAGATGAAGATAGATGTCTTATTCATGCGATTCTGAAGCTTACTAAAGAAAATTCTTCCATTGAAGAAGAGCTTCTTGGAAATATAGATTGAAGTAAAGATACAAGGAACCTCTGGATATGTATCAAAAACTGCCTTCATACTTCCCGTTCTATCTATTTTCTTCAGACGAGGTACAGGAAGCTTGTCAAGAATCAGAAGCTGAACTCAAAAGAGGTAGCTTTGTTGGCTGACAAGTATGATATAATTCCCATAGAGAGATTTATGGTCATATTTCCTGGTAAAACTCGAGAGACTTTAACAAATCTTATATCAAAATTATGCTCTGAAGACACAAACAAGAAGGTTCAATCAAAGCCTCGGATAGGTAGAGAATACAACGAGAAGAATAAGATATGATCTTTAGGTAAGGTTTTGAGTCCTATAAAGAATTCAAAATATAAACATTTTGAAAATGTTATCACTCAGTCTATTTCAAAGTTATTTTAACAACACAACTAATACATCTGTAGCAAAGGAGCCTGTGATGAGCTTCAGTTCATCTACAGATAAGAGCTTACAAGTCATTATCGATAAGTTGGACGGATTATCCTCCCTTCAATTTTTGAAGAAATTGGATAAACTCAGTTTAAAGAAGCTAAGTTATGGAATTGATCAGATCATTGGGGAGATATACCACCAAAAGTCTCAGTTGCCAAAATCGTAATTATTTTTAATATCGAATATTTTGACTATTTATTTTTGATTAATTTTTCAGGGTGGGGTACATGGAGGAAATCCTGCATAAAAAGCTTATTCGTTAAGATTGTAGTTTAGAATCAAATAAAACACTAAATTGCACATTATCCATATAAATAAGCAATCAATTTCGATTATCGTCTTGATAAAAATTTTCTTGAGTTTTGGGGTTTCCTTTAGAATCTTAACCTATTTTTTCTGAAGGCCAACTAAAGATATGAAGCTTGATACTTGATGAAGTTGGGGTTACTTCAGTATATAATCGATTTATCAATGCTGAAGTGCATTTATCATCTTGGCTAGTTCTTTATACCTCAAGCCTAATCCTTGCTCTGCTTTGTTTATAGTGAGCATAAGTAAAGAATCTTCATTTTTAAGGCAGATTTCTCAATATTCATAATTTGTTCAGGGGTTTTGGGGTTTTGGGGTTTTGGGG